AAAAAAAAAAAAAAAACTTTAACCATAGGCTGTGATACTATTCATGCCATCCATTCTGTATATTAGTAAACTGCATCTAGGGGTGTCAATTGGACCGGATTTTGTCCAATCCAATCTGGTCCAATATGAGCCCATTACAGATGGACCAGGTCCAATCCAATTTGATGTATACTCTAGACCATTTTGGACCAGTCCAATTCAATGTCTGGACCATCCAATCTATCCAAATTGGTTTTAATTTAGATTGGTCCCAACCCAAACCTGATCCGTTGACGCCTCTATTCTTATCTTCTATCAATGGACCAGATATTGGTTCAATCTGACCTATTCTTATTGGTCTGTCAAATCCCTCCAAATTGATTTTGATTTGGACGGGGTCCAATCCAAAATCAGCCCATTGACACCTCTAATTGCGCACCAGAGTTGATGGAATACCTCTATCTACATCACTGAAATGATGTTGTACATAACTGGTAAAGGCCCAGCTGCACAATTTGGATCTTCATGGCATGATTTCAACAACTCCAACCACAGGCTTCCAGTTAGGACTATCAATTTGCTGTTTCTCTGTTCTATTATCAATTTAACTTAGAAAAATCCATTTTTAGAACTTCTAAGGCAATCCCATGCATGCTCATTCCTACTTATTTAGTCCAGTATTGCAGAAACCAAACTGAGAGTAGAGACAGAAATCTGGCTGGGTGGTGGGTTTGGCAGTTCAAATAGACAGTCAGCTCATTGAATTGGTCAAAACTGTCAAAAACCTAGGACGGATCAGTGGTCCAGATCACCTGACACTGCTCAACTGCCCAGGTCAATAACAGTTTGAAAGCATTGATATAGTCCTAAAACTAAATCACGTATAACTCAGAAACATCCAATCTTGGCCACTTATTATAGCCGTTAAGTTCCAAACCCTACTTTTCACTGTTGAAGAGAGCATGCTTCAATAAAAGTTGGTTAAGAGTAATGGAACCTTTTTTTTAATGAAATCTTAATTTCTTTTCAAGTTCATTTTCCTCTCCTTTTTGTCACCTAATGTATCTCCAGTGATCATTTAATGAGCATTCTACTTACTTTACCTGCTACATGATTTGTGCACCACCGCCATGTCACCTACTAGGCTACCACATAACTCGTACATAGAACTGCAGTAGCCTGAACCATTGATTTGTCCATGTCTTGCTCTCATTTTATAATCTTCAAGCATGTCAGGAAAGCACAAATATAGTTATAAAACATTGGAAATAATTAGTGAGAAGAAAAACCGGAAATAATAAATTTCTAGTGGAATCAAAAAGATGTTGCCAAAGTTGAACTGTTACCTTATGGGTGTTTTTTCTTTTATTTATTTATTTTGCAAATAACTGTTGGTGAGAAACAATGTGCATGCAAGTTTAACTCATTATGTACTCTCTCCTCAAAATCGATGTATAAACTAGAGCCTCAAGATAACCCCAAAGAATCCAATGAAATAGGTAATATTCTTAGTCACGCTCAAACATCAAAAAGAAAAAGAACAAACATAGAAAGCAACAAAAAGTTGGAAACAATAACTAATTAAATTTGTAAAAAAAATGGCATGCCCATAGTTCCTTTTGCAGAAGCATATATTAGCCATGCAGTCCCAAAACAATATCTGTGTTCACCATGGAAGAAAATAATTCAGATTTCAAGATCGCTAACTGGACTAAACACCCAACCAATATTGTAATTTTATCCATGAAATTTTGAGAGAAACAAGTTTCAACAGGTATGTCAATTGAACAAACATACAGCCCCAAGGAAAAGAATTATACCAATCTAGATACCACATTCTTTCCACGGTCATCACCATTCTCAACAACATCTTTGAGTGCTGCAGGGAGAACCTTCCAAAACTCACTAACAAATTCATTTCCTTTACGTTTGCTGTTCTGTAGGATGTCATTGGCAAGATATAAAAATGGAACTTTCTGTTCCTTTTGTGAACTATGGAACTGCTTATCCCATGTTGTGACAACCAGCTCTGCCTTGTTCTGGTGAAAAATACACCAATGCGACAGTGCTATAGGAAAGTTAAGATGACATGGACATTGTTTATGCGTAGGATAATGTAAAGATTTAACCTGTAAGATAATTGAAATACCTCCAATATATGAAATATTAGATAATGGCATGTTCAGCATACAAACTATTAGAAAAATACAGGTTTTCCATTATTGTAATTAGAGACAAACAGAAAAGGAAATTTTACAGCATTAAAGAAGCATTTAATTGTTCTGTGTCACCACAAAATTAAGCTTGTCACATAAGAAATAAAACTAAGGGCAAAGAAGAATGTAGGATACCATTTGGAGGTTGGAGAAAATCTAATGGACGAAATCAGCAAATGCAAGCTATAACAGAAGATCTGATTATTTGGATATACATCTGTCTGGGATTTCTAGACTTGGATATGTTATATGTTCATACTGGAAAAATTAGTCAGCAGTGACCATGACACCTTTTTCTTTTTCTTTTTCTTTTTTTTTTGCCCTTCAATTTATTGCACTTTGTCTAGTTTTTAGCAGTCTATCTGCAGTTAAGCTGTGAATACGAAAAATTGTGAAACTCAAGTTATAATTGCAATCTTTCTTAAGGCTCTGGAACAATTAACTCATCATCTTCCTGGGCACTCCACTACATTTTTTTTTTATCAATAACTGCACCAATCCACTATATTATCTCACTTGAGGTTTTCAATTTCAATGAAAATTTTTAAAATTTGGCATTCCATTCTAGATTCAACTGTGGTTGAAGTTGAAATATATTCAATATATTTAGAAATCAAAAAGAATAGAAAGGCCTTAAAGAGATTTAGATAAGGGAAGTAGAAGAAATAGGAAGTAATTAGATATAAATAAGGAGCAAAATAGTAACGAAAGAGTAGAAATCACTGATTGTAGATTTAGTTGAATTTCTTGTGAAAGGAAAGGGGAGGAAGATAAAGATTTCAATAGTAGAGAAGAAAAGAGAGGGAGAAAAGAGTAGGAAGTCAACCAGGATTCTTGAATTAATCCTAGCCGCCAACCCCTCATTATATTTATACTTAACTTAAAGAATGAGATATTACAAGGATGCCCTTAGTAGGGCGGCCACT